TTCCTGCCAAGCATACTTTCTTTCGTTGCCTTCCTCCTCATGATCAGCCCAGTCCTGATCAACAACTCTTTTTCCAAGCCGATCATGAACACTTTTATTTTTTAAGCGCCAATCCATGTTATTATGATGATATGCATCTTGAGCATGGATAGACCGGCGGTTGGTTTGAGACTGCCTATACTCCCGATATTGATTGCTGCATTCTGGACAGTCATGTCTGGTAGGCAACTTCAAACCTTCATTCCAGCAATGCCTGAAGAAAGGACAATTCCAATGTAATGCGGCTTGTTTCCTTTCATACCTCTCTTCTTCCAGTTAATGTTGGTACGCTTGATCTTTCAACCAACGCTGATAATCCTTTTCCTTCTGCCGCTGCCATTTATTCAATAGAATCCGAGATGTGACCCGCGGCTTTGTCGTCTCTGTTTTTGATGTCTTCCCCTGCTCATATCGGCTCTTTTGCTCGGCACGACGTCTTCTAATCTCTCTGTACTCGTCAGCCGATATTTGCATCTTGGGATCGATTGTTCTAGCTTTTTTTGATTTGGTTGATGTTAGGACCTTAGTTTTTCCTTTGAATAGCCCAGCATCAACCATGTTTTGATCCCCTGGAAAAGGATTATCATCAACTTTTATTTTCCGAGGCGTACCAAATTTGAGTCTCCCCTGCTGAATAGCTCTCTGTATATGCTGCCTAAAGATTCTACATTCATTAGTAGAATGAGAAGTAGCATTATGAAACTTGCAGAACTTCTTATTCTTCAACTGATTAGGGGGCAACATGACATGACCATCGAGCAACTTGATCTATCCTTTCTCAAGTAAGAAATCAAAGAGCTTGTCTGATTTGGTGACATCAAAGTCATAGCTCTCCTCAACTCCCCTTCTTCAAGGATTTGGCACCATTACTGTCTTCTTGCCCCAATTCCACTCAGCTGCAGCAACCTCTTCTTCTTCATCCTCATAGCCGTCATCAACTGAGTATGGATCATAAACTTCAGCTACTGTGGTACTCTTCTGGAATCGGGTATCTCTCCGTATATTTTGGAATTGGCTATTGAGCGCTGTTACTCGTTGAGCCAATTAACCTAAGTTGTCAAATTTTTGTCCCAATAGCTTTTCTTTCCACATCGGCAGCATTCCCTGAACAGCTAAAGCAGCTAGTTGGTCATCGGCCAAGTTTAGGGAGAAGCACAAGTTCTTGGTTTCTCGGAACCTCTGAAGAAATTCAGTGCCTGATTCATTAATCTCCTGTCTTATAGTTGTCAGATCGATAATCTTCTTTTCTCCAGTCCCAGTGTAAAAATATGTATGAAACTTCTTCTTTAGGTCAGCCCAATTGGCAATGGAATTGACTGGCAATGATGAAAACCAAGTGAAGGCTGGCCCTGATAAGGATAGAGAAAAGAAACGAACTTGATGGGCATCCTCAACTGATGTTTCGTCCAATTGTGTAAGATATCAACTAATATGTTCTATCATGCTTGTACTGTCTTGGCCAGTGAACTTAGCAAATTCTGAAAGTCTATAATTTGTTGGAAGGGTGACTAAATCATACCATTCTGGATATGGGCATTTGTACAAAAAGGTCAGTCATTTTGGCTTCAGACCAAACTGATTCTTCATCATCTCGGTCACCTTCAGCAGCAACTCGTCAGCTTATGGATTTGGATTTCTTTGTACTTGTTGACCCATCTGTGGATTGAAATCCCACGTGCCCTGATATCCTAGATTTGACATCATGTGAAGGGTGTTATAATATGTGCCATAGTGATACCCTTGTGGAATCTTGATCTGTTGAGTCCTCTGTTGGCTTGCTGCTTGAAGTCTCTGATTATAGATATAAGGATCTATATCTCTACGGATCCTTTGAATTGATGGTGCTATTTTTTTAGCCGACGATGGTATGTGGCCTGATGTGCCAAAATTGATCACCTGGTTCTGATCTTGCCTCGCCGGCTGTTGCACATGCTGTATTGACGGTCCATGATGGTACTGTATCTGATTCGTAGTAGTACCTTGAGCTTGTTCAGATGAACCTTGAATTGTCTGGACGTCACCATTACTAGCTGGTGCTGCTTCTTGATGGCTGATACTGACTTGATTAGTCCCTTGGGTTGATGGATCTAGAATGTTGTAACAAGTCGATCCAACTTGACCAACTGGAATCCCATGAATCGCCTCTTTCATGGCATTGTGAAATGCGTCCACGAAGGCTTCATTACGGCTTGATATGGCATCATGAACAAATTTGTCTATGACTTCCGTAAAGAAACGTCTGTCTTCAGCTTCGACTGTATCTATCTGTCTGTGTAGTAGAACTCTTGGTAGTGGAAATTTCTGAACAATTGTGTTGTCACGTGTTTTGATGTAGGACAACAAACACTTCTTCTGAAATTCTTCTGTAGTTTTGCCGGTTACATCTTTATCTCTATCAGGTAGATCTTCATAATGCATCATAAGGATATCATCGTTGTTGTGAGCCATCATGACGATCAAGGGGTTCCACCGGGCGTGCCAGAAACGTGTGTCGACACAGAATTTTTGTCTCATGCCGAGGACACACGCAGCAAGTCGGAAGGGTCCGCTCGATGGAGCAGATCCGCCTAGCTTCAGCGCAAGGATGGTCGATCCTGCGTAATCCTCCCGAGACGTGCCAGTCAATTTGACCCTGTAATTGACAAAAAGAGAAAGTTCATCAGTAATTAAGGGCGAAACTTGCTGGTATTGCCAGACAGTCCCGAATGTGCGGCTATAAGAGCCGATATGAGATAAGATCGACTAAATAGTCGATTCCAACATATTCATAGGAATAAATCGATTAAAGCTCGTTGGATTGTATAAGAGAAATCGGTTATCATACAAGATAGATATCATTATTTGAGCAAATATTAATCAATGTCAATAAGATGCTGACAATGATCGATTTATATTAAGCCAATGATTACAAGTAACCAAACCCCTTTTATATAAAGAAACAATCCAACACCATTTAACCATTTAATAAAGATAAACCTAATGAACATGTTAGATCTCATTTATCGCCATAACCAGTGGGACATGAGGCAAAATCATGCAGGCCGTAGAAACAACAATAGACTCGACGACCCTAACTCATTACTAATATCAGTGGGGCATGAGGCAGAATCATGCAAGCTGTAATACAATAATAAAATCATGGGGCTGACACATCTTTCAACCCATCTTTACTTCAACGGTCTTGTGATACGAACTATTCGTGAAAGCATTCGATATCGGTTAAAACAGCCGATTCAGGCATAGCGCACAGTTAGGGTCATGCCTTACCAGAAATAGATCTACTAAATAACGATCCCCACTCCACGGTGCTAATAGTGGGGTGTGAGACAGAATCACACAGGCCGTGATAACGGACCATGGAACGGTTTTCGCTAGCCAATAGATCTACTCGAGACGCAACATGCCTTAACCGCACGCTATGCACGATTAAGATTGATATAAAACAGTCGATAAAAATATAACTCATCGTTTAGGGTGTAGATTAGGTCAGTTCTAGATCAGCAAATGATGGGTTAAATAAGATATAAGGCCGATCCAAATCAATCTCAATCGGACAGAGTGATATTGCTGTAATTAGATAAACAATGAAAGCAATAAGCAATATCGGTAACTTAATGAATCTACCAAAGACTGTCATTCTAAGGTAGAGCTGATAACTTGACCTTGATTTAGTTCATGCAGTGGGGGTCGACCGGATCTATGCAGCCATACTTGAACTAGACAAGAATCGATAACCAGCTTATATCAGAGTCGTAGTGGAGGTCAACCGGATCAATGCAGCCGTACGAACAGAGATATAAGTCATGACGGTACTTACAACAAGCAGTGGAGGTCGACCGGATCGATGCAGCCGTACTTGCTGAAGAACTTGCCGAGATCTACTCTACTCCTACTCCTAAGAGGTGATCGGAGCTAAAAAAAGTAATTGACTTGTATTTAATTGATTGGTTGTTCTTTACAATAGTCGGGGTTTGATATTTATACCCGAAGCATAAAATGAACCCTACTCGAGTACGACTCAGTATAATTTTTGGTATGAAGAAAATATTTCTATCTTAAGATAACTTGGACTCCAATCTTTCCCCTTTTGTAGAGTCCGATATGTATCTTCTCGATGCCAATCATATCTCGTCATCGTTATCTGCTGACGTCGTTCGGAGAGAACCGATCTCGGTGTCACATTCGATTCAGCCGATATCAGTCTTTACTTAATCGACTCCTTGATTGACACAATCCTGGAAGCCTGCGAGTTCTCGCGCTCTTCTCCAAATTTTGGTGTAAACACATATATTTTGCAATGCCTTTTCGAGCTGTTTTTAGATGTTTTTTGAGTGTTAATGTTTCAACTGTTTCGAACGTATGTTGCAAATGTTTTATTTGGATGTTTCAAAAGTAGATCAGATGTTGCATCGCCCCCCTCGCCTTTTGGTGTCTCGCCTTGGTGTCTCGTCTTCTCGATGCTAGTAATGTTCGGGCAGCATGGGCCCGCATGGGGGCGGCACAGAATACGAGCGGGCAAGGTGAGGCATAACGAGCGGAGCATGCGGGGCGGGCGACAAGGAGCAGGAGCAGGGAGCTGCGTCAGAACACGGGGAAGTACCCTAATATGATTCGGAGTCGGAGTCACAGTCAGATCCGATCGCGCATAAAAAAAATCTGAACCAATATGGTCCGACCCCACTTGTATTTTTTTTTTCTTTTTTGCGGAAGACCCCACCTGTCATCGACCGCCTTGCTGACTCAAACCAGGCGACCGCAATCCGCACTTCCGGAGACGTCTCGAGTTCCAATTCCAACTCGCTTCCCCTTCCGTTCCGGCCGGCCCCCCTCGGCGCCTCCATATAATCGAAGTCCAAAGCCACGTTTCCCCTCAACCTCATAAAAAAAAAACCAAAACCCTCGCGAAGTTGAGATCCATCTAGACGCATCGCCACTCAAACCCTAGGTTGACGGATCGCTCCATGGCGATCATCTCCGACTTCAAGGAGGACGAGGCTACGCAGCAGGCGGCGGCGGCGGCGGCCGGCCCCGGCGTCGAGGAGGCCCTGGTGGCGGCGCTGGAGAGGAGCGGCGGCGCGCTCCCCTTCCTCCAGGCGGCCATCGATGTCGCCCACCGCAGGTCCGGCTTGTTCCGCGACCCTTCGGCGGTGAGCAAGGTCACCGCGATGGCGGCGGCCGTCAGGGCGCAGGTGGAGGCCGAGGAGAGGGTGGCTATGGAGGCCAAGAGGAAGGCGGAGGAGGCCGAGAGGAAGGCGGCGGCCGAGGCGCAGAAGGCTGCCGCCGAGGCGGTGACGGCGGAGGAGAAGCCAGAGAGCTCGGTGGAGAAGGACATCATGGAGGTGGATAAGGAGGAGGAAGGCAACGTGAGACGTGAGTGCTCTATTCCCTTGCTGCCCTGTTTTGGAACTGTCATGTTGCTATGCTGCGTTTTAGGGATTTTGGTGCTAAATGTGGTTCCATAAGCCCGATCTAGCATATTCTAGTGATTAGGCTTGAGGAGTTAGGATAAGCTAGATAGATTGGGGTTGATACTCTGCTCAACGTTAGATAGATTGGGGTTGATACTCTGCTCAACGTATGTGGTTTGATTTAGGTATCTAATAATAACTCTAGTGCTCATCCTTGCGCCATTTGCTATTTTCAAACTTCATTCCATTATTGGTATCAATAGGCAACAAAATGTTTTAACTAAACAGCTTTGTTAGGGAAAAAATACATTAATTTGCCCTTTATTTTCTCAATTGACCTTACAGTAAATTAATTATATATGGTCCAATGTTGATTGCAGTCCGACAAAAGTTATCTCTCTGTTGTAGTGGTCTGTTGAGGCTTGGGTTTGTGCCGCGATATAAGTGAAACTATATAAGTTGAAATTGCTAACATGATACCCTAATAATTGTTTTATTTCATTATTGCATCTCTAAGACAGTTTCTTCAGATGTGATTTCTACTTCTGCATTTTATGGGTACTCCTATCTAATTTTGTTTATTTCCTAATAATCAGAACCAAATGCTGGCAATGGTCTTGATTTGGAGAAGTACTCGTGGACTCAACAGCTGCCAGAGGTTAACGTCACCATTCCTGTTCCTCAAGGAACAAAATCAAGATTCGTGGTCTTTGATATAAAGAAGAACCATCTGAAGGTTGGTCTGAAGGGCCAGCCACCTATCATTGATGTAAGTAGCTACTGCAATAAATTTCATCTTGTCTTATGGGACAACAATGTTTCTGGTGAACCAAATGTGTTGTTACAAAATACAGAGGCTCTAACTTCCTGTTGGTACTTTCTTTATTACCAGGGCGAGCTCTATAAGCCAGTTAAGGTTGATGACTGCTTCTGGAGCATAGGTAAGTCATTGGATTTTGAGCCTGCTTGGCTGCACTACTTTATATATGGCTGCTGCTGCTGCTGAGCAGGCCGTTTGTATCTGAGCTTGCTTTTTTTTTTTTGATCCTATAAAGCCCCTTACTGATAAGAAGTATGGTTTCCTAATCATAACATTTTGTAGAGGATGGAAAAACTCTGTCCATATTGCTTACAAAGCACAACCAAATGGAGTGGTGGAAGTCTGTTATAAAGGGTGACCCTGAAGTTGATACCCAAAAGGTGGAGCCTGAGAGCAGCAAACTCTCTGATTTGGATCCTGAGACTAGACAAACCGTGGAGAAGATGATGGTAAGACACAGAACCTGATGCACATCTGAGTTCTTAATGCAGCTTGGAAATAGCTAAAATCCTTTAATTGGTTTGTAGTTTGACCAGCGCCAGAAGCAGATGGGCCTTCCAACAAGTGATGAAATGCAAAAGCAAGAAATTCTCAAGAAGTTCATGTCTGAGGTAAGTCTGTGCGACAAAGCCATTATTATCATCTTTAAGTCCCGATATATGTATGTAGGTTGGCTTCCCATCCTATTTCATGCATCTGATTCATTTTTTTTTCGTGGCAGCACCCGGAGATGGACTTCTCTAGAGCGAAATTAGCTTGAGGATTTGTTCGGGCAGTTATTTCTACCAGTCTGCATTAGGTTGTTTTTGAGTGCGTTATTAGTGTGAAACAAATTTTGATCAGTTCTTCTGTAATGCGTCAGAAATATCATTTAGAACTGTGACATGTGTCTTGAACCAACCTAATGGCTGGATTATTTCAATTTTTGAGCTCTCCGTGCTGCTTGCTATGCTTGTTAAATGAACTTCCACTGTTGTAGCGTGCTCACGATAAAATAAAACTAAAGAATTCTGTTTGTTGGCTTAGGCTCTGTCCAGTCAGCCTATTTGGCCTAACGGCCCATACGCCATGGTGCCATGCTCGACTCTTTAGATTGAGAAATTGAGAAAAACTAAGATTGAGAAATGATTTTTCCAGATTCATCGAAACCCTTCCCCAATGCTGTAAAGGAAATATCGGCCCCAAATGAAGTGTGCTAATTCGACTATCGGCCCCCAATGAAGTGTGCTAATTTGACGATTTGTTTTTTAGGTTTTCTTGGTCTCTTGGAACTAAGGCTGGATATCAAGCCAGCTTGTTATAGCTTGGCTCGTTATCAAGCTAGCTTGGCTTGGCTCGACTTGTTATACTAACGAGCTAGAAGCGAGGCTCGGCTCGCTTGGCAGCTTGAGCTGGCTCGTTTGACTCGTGAGCTAACTTAAAAAAAATTTCTTCATGTTGAGGCTATTCATCTAGCAAAAGACAGAGACAAGTATTGATTTGGGAAAAGCAAAATAAATAAGAAGAGATGATTTGATGCTGGTTTGGGAAAATCAAGAAAAAAAAACAAAAGCTAATGCTTCCTGTTGTGCGATGGCTTGCAAGAGAGTAAACAAAGCTGCGATTGCAAGGCCCTAGCGAGCAGCAGGGGCCGGGCAACTTACGCGTGTGCCGCGCGCGGCGGCTCAGGAGGAGAACAGCCGAGGGTGCATGTGTTTACGGCTACACCTGCGCGGAATAGCGGATGGGGGAAGTCTAGGGACTAAGGGGTGGGAGCATGGGAGCTAGGGGCTAGGGTTTTATCATGTTGGGCCAATGAGTCATGGCATATATAGGCTGATTCAAGTTGCTGTCATCTGATTTACCTTGGCTCGTTTTGGCTCGCGAGCTAGATCGAGCTGGCTTAATTAACCGAGCTAAAGTGCTGGCTCAGCTTATTTAAAAATTCAAACGAGCCGAGCTCAAGCTGAGGCACTAACGAGCGAGTCGAGCGAGCTAGCGAGTTACGAGTTTTTCGTCCAGGCCTACTTAGAACTTTTAGAGATCTCTTCGGATGTTCCGGAACCTCTAGAAGTTTTAGACAAGTTTCCGTAACTTTCAGACATTACTAATCCGCCGCTTTAAAGTGTGAAAGAAATTTTAGGTTTAGCCAAATCCTTAGTTATTTTGCTAGCCCTTTAGCCAAGCAGAACTAGCTAACAAGGGCGAATCATTGCTAGTGATACATATTAATCAAGGATCCAAACATGAGTTAATGGGCTAATTTTTGCCAGCTAATTTAGGCTCCGGCTAACAATTAGCTTTAGCCGATCCAAATAGGCCCTTAATTAGATGCCAGATTAGAATAATTTATGCTAGTTTCATATCATTATATGCCGAAAATGAGTAAAAAAAGAACATGAAACTCAATCACTGATGAGTAAACCTTTGTTCACAATAGGGACAAGTGCAGGACTTTAATTTACATGCTACGTATCTTTCTTTCTATATGACGATGGTAGCAACTTTGCAAAGGCATGACCGCATGATAACCCCGAATCCAACATGATCTGCCTACACATCCTGCCTACATACTGGGCATGAACCATGGTCAATGAACCATCTGTCCACACAAGGCTGATGGAAGGTGTGAGAGCACTTTGGCAACTTCCTCACTGTCTCTCCGCTAACAACATCCTGGGAGAAGGCAAACTGTCAGGACCTCCACATAAAGTTTAATTGAAACAATAGAAATGCCTTTTCTACATCAGCACCAAAAGAATCCTAACCGAAGCATGTCATTTCAAGAGAAAAAAGAAGAAGACTAACTATAGCATCAGATACATACAAAAAAAATGTGAATACTTCAATACTTCCTCCTGTCATCAAAATATTATGTGTACGACAAGATTCGGTCAAACCTAAAATAAAAAACTATAAACGTCAATAACTTCTAAATTATTTAGATTGGACACATGCAAGATATATGTATACAATGGAAGATACTTGCAAAATTTCATAATTTTGAAACATTTTAAAAACGTATTCTAGAAGATAATGGTGATCAAAGTTATATACTAAAGACCGTTCAAAGTCAAATGTGACGTGTATATATTTTTTTATCACGTGACATATTTTTGGACTGGAGAGAAAATTAAAAAGAAAAGCAAATATCAATTTTGTTCCATATATTGCGCACAAGCAGGTAGTTTGAGCTATGCGATCTAACCAGAGATCGATCAAACTGCATACGGCACTTACGATAACTTGCCCTAAAATTTAGAAGTCTTTGGAATTGAAGGCAAGCAACCAGTAGGTGGACAAAAGTGATCACCAGAGTAAACTATAATCAATCTATGAGCTGGAGTGATGGGCACTCCTGATTCAACTCCCACTATCTTAGTTTCAGTCATGTTACAAGTAATGTGTCAAATCACACTTTCCCCCATGATTAATCAACTGCTAGCATCCAAAAGGAAATGCCATATGCACATCATATTAATTTATCAACACAAAACAAAGCAAGCTCCTAAACAGTAAAATCCCCAGAGAATTTAAGATTTTAATGCAGGTCAGTTTTCCACTAAACAAATATGTAATGTGTCATTAGTACCTGCAGGCAAATAGCGCAAGACACATTTTCACCAATTGATTCCTGCTTCTGATCAGTCACCACATGATGTGGCAACTTCTTTAGAGTATCTTGTGAGAGCCCTTCGGATAAAACATCTTCAAGAACATCGAACAGATCATCATTGTCCGCAATGCCAACCTGTTGGAAAATATCTACTACTCCGATAAAGAACATGCCGTGTAGCGAAACCTTATGAAACTACATCAACAACTTTAAATTTCTAGTTTGAGAACATGTAAGTTACATGTGTATTGAAGTGTTAAAAATACTTGCGAAATTTCATAAGCTTCAAAAATGTTAAGAATACATTTTATTAAGAAATAGTGGTAAAGGTTATGTATCAAAACCGTGTAATGTTGTAACGCGTTTATGTGCTTTCTGTCAAAGAGGATGCCACCAGTGGTAACCAACAAACTGACCTGTTCACACACACACAAAAAAAGACAACAAACTGACCTGCCAACGATATGCCATATATACCGATGGCTCATACTGGTCTTGCACAAATCGAGCATGAAGGAGCTGTTCTATGAAATCCCCCTGGAAAATGCAACAGGTGATTCTCTTAAATGCACGTCCGCCATGAATCACTGAAAATAATGTCATTGCAAAAATATAATTTCCACGGTCTGGGCTGAAGGAACTAACAATACTATATAATTTCCATGGTCTGGGCTGAAAGAACAATACTACTGTAGCATATAAGTATTTCCTAATTCCGATGGAATTTCTGTAGCTAACGCAAGACATATACACTCTACTAAGTAATTTGCACAACAATAATGCCGGATGAATTTGAAGAAGTAGCTCACGGACCATGGAGGACGTGCTCTGCGGGCTCGATCGGTCCGCCCTCCAGTAGGCGCGCGAAGCCTCGAGAACCTCGATGGAGAGCACCGCCCCCGCAAAGGCCCCCAGGCCGGCTCCCCGGAGGACGCCGCTGTCGGAAGCTCGGCCGGCCAATGCGCCGGTGAACGCCCCCGTCAGGCCTCCAGCTACCCCAGGCAAAACAAATCCGCGTCAAGAGAATACCAGGGGCGGCAGAGCACACAAACCAAACACACAGAAGCAACACAATTAAGGTGCCGCGTCAACGCTATGTGGGGCGCCACGCAGGTGCACGCTTACCAACGGCAAAGATGCCGGTGAGGGCCCCCGAGAGGACGCCGGAGAGCAGCCTGGGGAGGCACGGCCCCGTCTCTACGCTTCGGCGCTCCTCTTCCGCCGCCGCCGTTGGCAGAGGCGGCACTTCCATGATTCCAGCCTCACGGCACGGGGCGGTCCACCTCCACGCCTCCGCAAACTAAAAGCCGAAGCCGATCGAGCGTCACGGTAGCTTGGCCTGGGTCTAACTGGTGGTTGGTTGGTGCACGCGTGGTGGAGGAACTCGCCGGGAAGAGAGGGAGAACAGGGAGGAGGGAAGGGGCCAGGCGTGTGAGCGCGTGACGCCGCCTGAAAACGGGATATTTAACTTTTTAGCCTTACGGATGGCACCTCGTGACATAGCATATTTAGAATTGAAACTACGATTTTACCAGAAATTTGATACGAAATTACCACTTTTGTTCATGTGGCACGCCAACACATCACTCCAGCGCAGATCCGAGTCAGCAGCCCCATGCGAAATGACGCCCCTGCCCCTGGCGTGTTTATACTCACAGACAGTCAAACCCCACTTGTCAGCCATCTCTCCCAACCTTTCCTCCCGCTAACGGGTGGACCCGGCCGTCAGGGTCATCCCCTACCTCCAGCCACCGATCCCTTAGGCAAAGCGGGCGACAACAACGGGGGTGGGGTGGAGCTGGCGGGAGGGGCCGACGCCGGTGATGTCGGCGGCAGTGTCGTGCTCGGAGCCGGCGCGCCGCCGCCGGTGCCGTTGCTGCGGGCGGTGAGGACCATGACGACGAGCTTCTCGTCGGCGGGATGGCGCTGCGGGCACGGTTCGACGCCGAGAAGCGGTGCAACATGGGGGGCGGTGTATCCTTGCTAGGCCAACGGAGCAAGCAGGGAGGCGAATGGTGGTGTTTGTGTGGAGATCCGGAGCTCGAACCGAAGCTCGGCAATGGCGGTGGCTACGGTGATTGGCGGCGCTGGAGAAGATGAGAGGACAGAGGGAGGGGCGGGACGTCTGCGACGTGGAGAGGGGCCCGAGGGGCGACGGAGAGGGGGAGGAACGAGCAGTGGGCACCCCTGGCAATGAGAAGCTCGGTCGTATGCCGCCCATGGCGGCTTGACTCGGTGTGCACGGTGGAGGGATCGCGACTGCGGTGGATGCGGCGGAGGGGCTGGGTCCGTGCGGGATGTTGAGGACGCGGGAGGGGTGTGGTCGCGTGGTCGCCCGGCCATAGCCAACGAAGGGGATCAGTGGCTGGAGGTAGGGGATGACCCTAACAGGTGGGGTCCACCCCGTCAGCAAGAGAGAGAGGTGGGGAGAGATGGCTGACAGGTGGGGTCCGACTGTCTGTGAGTATAAACATGCCAGGGGCAGAGGCGTCATTTCGCATGAGGCTGCTGACTTAGATCCACGCTGGAGTGATGTGTTGGCGTGCCACGCAAGCAAAAATGGCAATTTCGTATCAAATTTCTCTCTCTACTGGTAAAACCATTGTGTCAATTCTAAAGATGCTATCTCAGGAGATGCCATCCGTTATAATAGTAAAAAGTTAAATATCAGCCTAAAAACGATGGGCGGCTCGGCTCGATTGATGGGTAATGGGGGTTGCTGCATACCATAATTGGGCTGACCGGTGCAGCATGTCTCACTATCAGGCTTCGAGATAGCCCGCTACAAGGCGTACCGTGCTTTCTAAATATAAAAAAAAACAGCACAAAAACAGACACGGCCAACAGGCACGCTAATGCCATGCCTAGCCTAATAATATCAAGCCGTGCCTTTTCAGGACCGTGCCATGCCAGGCCGGGCAGCCAATTTTGCCATCCAAAATGAATGTACAGTACACAGGAGGCACTCATCACACACGGTCAGAGACGCTCGTTAATTCGTTGTGTGCAATCAGGGGTGTCCCACGTTGTCGGCTACCGGGGCAACTGGTCACGGGTTAACCACATCCTATTTGCTAGTCTATGATAATAACACCATAAATTCGTGTGAACACACTAGACACACTTTAAGTAAAACCAGACTTCCTGGCCAAGTCGCTGTAAAGGACGTCAGTATACCATAACCTGAGATGATGGAATTTGTATCCTCACATTCCATCTAGATACAGCAGTCGGCACTGTATGGAAATGACTAGGTACCAAAAACTTTAGCAGCCCTTCAACTTTTCCTCCACCAACTCAATGCAGCGGTATAGCACCAATTGAACAAGATTTAACGTGCACACTATCTCATTTGTAATCTCATCAGCATCCTTTTCATTTTCCAACAGAATTTTCGCCGCAATTGGTCTTAATGGGGTCAGCCACTCCAAGTGCACCTTGTGCAATGTCTCTTTCTGAAACAATTTTCCAGATCTTTCTCCTGACCAAAAGGGGAAGATAAAAGGTGATCAAACACACAATTCACATATCTTCCATAATCCATTGTGGCACATGCAAATTCTAATCCATTAATCAGGCGATGATGCAAAACTGAGGAATCCTTCCTACGTTCTGCTGGTTTACAAGAATGGAAAAATTTGACAAAAAAAAACACATTTTATCAGTTCCATTACCGATTTGGAACTGGGATGTATGTCCATTGCACAGTACTCCCTCCATCCTAAATTATAAGACGTTTTGACTTTTCTAGATACTCCCATTTTTATCTAGCGTCGTATTTGGTTTTGGGAGAAAGTCGCAAATAAGCGTCGTATTTTGGTCTGGCCACACCGTTCGCTTGGTTCGTAGAGCCAGAGTTAAAGAAACACATCGTTCCTTCCATGCACAGTTAAATCCGCATGCAGCCATGCATGAGCTAGCTTGCATGTTGCCGGTGAAGTACTACGCGCAAGTGCCGGGCGGGACGCTGGTGAGTGCCGAGCGCGCTTGGCTTGCATGGAGCCATGCAGGAGTAATTGCCTAGCGCTGTGCACGAAGCGACATAATTGAATAGAGTACAGAAATGTGAAGACTTAACTCAAGAGTTAATCTCTGCCTTGGTCTGTGCACCAAAGCCAAATACGACACTTAAAAAAAACGGAGGGAGTACATTACTTTTGTTATGTATCTTGCCAAAACTGTCTTATAATTTGAAATGGAGGGTATGCTTCTAAGGTGCTCTTTGGAAAGGTATATATATGTGCATGACTTAAAAATTAGGAATAAGGTTACTGTTCTTTGGAAAGGTTCATTACCACTTCCAGACATGAATAAGGACATGTATGTGCATGACTTAAAAATTAGTAATAAGGACCGATGCCAGACCCCCAAGTGTTAATTTCAACTTTTGGTAAGATTGTTTTTAAAAATCTAACAATTTTGCTAACAAAGTTCATTGGATTTGACACAAGTTAGCATGTATAATATTAAACCAAAATGCTTAATTATGACCACAAAATAAGAAATCTACATTGATGAAAAAAACCTGCAAAATTTTGAACCATATTTCAAATGGTAGTTAAAATATTGCAGGAGTCGAAATGTAATGGATGCAAATACAGGCATAGCATGAATTGAAAGAACAAGAGTACATCATGGCTGTGACAAATTATCAATATCTGAAGATAAATTGTTAATGTTAAGTTTTTGGACGTTACCTCTTGAATCTATTATCAGAATAAATCTTAGCAAGTTTAGAGCTGATATTACCTGCATAGAAATAGGAAAAACGTGAAATATTCTAGGAAGTTATTTCCAGACAAAAACTGCACAATGTTGTGAAAACTGAAAACACAATTAGTAGGGCAGACAAGTAAAATTTACAATAACAGAGCACCTTAAATATAAACCACTGAACCAAGAACCCATTGATCAAAGAGTGGCGAACACATAGCACCAGAAGACCACCTTGCTCGACCACATGAAAGGAAAATGGGTTACTGGAGGTAAGCAGATGGTCTTACCAAGGTGTGATGACTGTGGTGGGTGATGACCGGTGGGTGAGGTGCTGGTGAAGTGGTGATGTAGAGGAACTTAGGCTATGCCGGCCTGAGCTCTTAGATGCAGGGAGTTCCGCCAGCATGCGCTCCTTACACACAAGACGCAGGGAGTTACCGCGTGTACAATCGACCTTTATCCCTCTCCTGTCTCTGCCGCCAGCATGCTTAGCGCACACAAGGCCATGGCTGATTGCTGGCAGCTGCCATGGCTGATTGCTGGCAGCTGCCATGGCTGATTGCTGGTAGCTGTGCTCCAGACGGTAGTTCAACGCGATAGGCCAACTCCCCGATCTTTTCCAGGACCTTGAAAGGACCATAGAAGCAAGGCCCAAGCTTGTTGCGCCCTTTGTTGTCCATGGAGGCCAAAGGACGGTGTAACTGGCGCAACCAAACCAAGTCGCCTACCTGAAAGTCCACTTCACGGTGCCTCTTGTCATACTGAGATTTGTGATACTGTTGGGCTTGCTCTAGACACACTCTAATCTCCACCAGAAACTCATCTCGGACCTGTAGCTGCTGAGCGACGGGCCAGTAATCGTGTTTCTCCCGGCTCATAAGCTATCAGTGATGGTGGGTCGCGCCTAGGGATGAAAACGGACAGAAAAAATCCCGTCCTGACCTGTCCCGTTTTCTACTTTTGTCCCACCCGTTTCCGTATTTGTGGATCATGTTTCCATATTTACGGAAATGGGAGAGGGATTTTTCCGTCAGTTTCCACAGGACCTGTTTTCATCCGGAATTGACATATATTTATTCCGTTTTTCATCACGTTTTCAATCTATGTGAGATATGTCTAAAAATTGCTATGTTCATAAATCTACTAATCACCAGCATGTTAACACATGGTATGCTAGTGAATATTGGACCTATAACTTCGTATGTGTATATTATTTTGTGACTTTGTTAATGTATACTCGAGAATATTTGATCATGTTATTCTAACTTAATTTTCTAGCTCTCCATCCGTAGTTGTCTGTTTCCGTATCTCCGTATATCCCCATCCGTTTTCACTTCTGTTTTTTCCCCGAATCCGATCCCGTTTCCGCTAAAAATATAGAAACGGAAATGGGAGCCAAGTTTTTCCACCCGTTTTCATCCCTAGTCGTGCCCATAGACGTAACTCTGAATGGAGTGGTGCCCAGCACCGCTTGAAATGAAGAGTTGTAACAAAACTCAACCCATGGAAGCCACTGGAGCCAGTTTCGAGGACGAT